TAAATCGAAATTTATACTTAAAAAATGACTAATAAACAAAAAGTTTAAGCTTTTTTGGAACAAACTGAACTAGGGAAGTATTAAAAACACAGCATGTTTATTTAAATCATTAACTTTTCATAATTCATGAGTCTTAACATATATCAATATCTTTACCCTATTATTTAACTGGGTACATTCACTTGTATTGCATAAAACTTTATAAAAAATTTTAAAAGAATTAAAGTACAGCTAAGAACAAAGTCATATCTGTGTGAGAGAAGATTCACCATCGTTAAGCCCTAGTCCCTAAAGCAGTTCTTTTTTTGATGCATGGACTTCTCAACTTCAGACTCATTTCTGCTTTAGAAAAAATAAAGTCGCTCTTTTGAGCTTCCTCCCATCACATGCCCGTCACTGCATTAATCGCTTTGTGTTGACCCAGTGGTACCTGTCCACCCGGTGCACAGCAGCAGGCCTGTGACACTTAGGGTTCTTATATGTGGAATGACAACCATGTCCCATGAGGCCAACAGGACCATCCACCATATTCTTTTTGCAGGAGATTTGGAACCAAGGTTGAAAAGGCTGTTTCACATTTTCAGCCTAGAAAAAAATAATAAAGTATGAAGATCTCTAAACTATTAACCTAGCTCTCAGGATTAAATATTATAAACCTATACATAGGAAGTACAAATGAATATAAATGAAAATAGATAATCTTTATGGGTAGGAGGTAAATCAGACCATTGCTTTTAACAACATTAATTCTTCAAACCAAATAAAAATTATTCAAGCCAACTGAAAACACATTTATTCAAACTTGTATATGTTCTTGGATCTCTACCTCTCTGTGACCACCTCAGTGGCCAACTGGGGCCAGCCTAATCCAAAAGTGCCCATTAATGATCTCTGGGGTGAAAACCTCAAAAGATTCAAACATCCCAGATGACTGATAAAGATGTTTCACACTTTGTAAAAGACATTGCTGTGGCCAGCCCAAAATGTGGTAGTTAAGGCAGCTATATCTTACATGACTGACTACATGGTTCAAGTCCCAGACCTGGCAGCTTGAAAAATACACCAGGCACATGTGTGGGCTTGTCAAAATGCTGAAAGGAGGGAGAGATGGAGGAGAAGGCTTTGCAGCATGACCATTCCCCATGGAGTATACTTTTCACTTTCCTTCTCCTTCTCTCTCTCTGTACTCCCCTCCCCCCATCGCCATGCACCTGCCCTTTAAGGAAGGAAGGAAAGAAAGAAAAGATACTGCTGTAAAATATATATACAACTGACTATGGTTCTTATCCCTAGATGGAAGATGATCTTTCTAAGCATAAAAATAGAATTATGACAAATATTTTACTGTGAAGTCTTAAACTGGTATACATAGAACTACATATGAATGGTAGACACATATAATTTAGGCTACTAGAAAAAAAAATATTTGCCAGTAATATGACAGGGTGCTAAACTACTTCTGACTTATGAAGAGCTTATAATAATACATGAAGACTAAAAAATTAATTGAAAAAAAAGAAAAATATGTAAGAGAGTAAGTACCTAAAATATTTGGGCACATGGAGTTTTTTTATGTTTAATTAAATACTAATAATATCACTAATACTATCTGTTATAGATATTTTTATCATATTATTTGTATTTTAAATGAAACTAGTCAATTCTAGGGGGAAATGATAGATATTTTTATATAGAGCTGGTGAGACTACACATACACAACTTTTGAGAAGGTACTTTGGCCATATGTTAAAAACTATTGGATCATTAGAAAAGTCATGAAGTATTTTTCTATGCTCAAGTGTGCCGTGACTTTTCTGATGATCCAAGAGTAGAATGTCCATGCCTGAGAACTAAATCTCAAGAAATAAAATACATATTCTGGAAAAAAAAATGCATGGATTACAAAAAGTTTTGCACTAAAGTAAACTCATACTTTAATTTCATTTTCCATGAGTTTTTTTGAAGTACCCTCATATAGTGATGTCTGCATTTTAAGCTATCAAAACTCTTTATATTGAAACAACATGGAAACAATCTAGAATGTCTGTAAATAGTAAATTATGGGACCAGCAGCTGGTGTAATGGCTATGTCACTGTACTCCCATGTAGTTGACTGTGGTTCGAGTCCCAGACCCAGTGGCTTAAACTCACACCGGGCATATGTATGTGCATGCCCAAGGTCCCAAGAAGAGAAGAGATTGCAGCATGGCCATCCCCGGGTGGGGGGGGGGGGTGATCTCACTTTCTGTCTTTCTGTCTGTCTTTCTGGCAAGTGCACATGCCCTATAGCAAAAATCTCACAAAAAACAAAATAGTAAATTACAGAGGTAAATTACTATTGAAATGTTAAAATATAAATTGTTTTAACACTTAATGCATAAGTGATTAAGAAAACATACAAATGAGTATATGTACACAGAATGTTAAGGGATTCTCTCTAAATCAGTGTTTTTCAAACAATGGGTCATGAAAACAATTTAGGTGCTTGAAATCAGTTGAATTAAATTGAAAGTGTTAGGATATTAGTCCTAGTAAGGTAAGTACTGTTATAAAATGAATCTTATTTCTTATATAAATTTGCATATCTTTCAATGGGTTAGAAATTTTTTTTGAGAAAAATGTATATAGTAACAGGATTATAGACCTTTGACCTTTTAATATTCCAAAATTTCTATAATTACATGTGTCTATTTTTTTAAAACCCACTAATCTTAATATTTAATTCTGAAAGAATTTAAGTAAAAGAAAGGTGTCACTTAATATGAGGGATCTTTTAAAAGTCTGTGGAAAGTGTGTATTATAAAAAAACATACATAGATTTCAAATATTTTTGCACCAAAATAAACTTGAACTTTCTTAGGTTCCCTCTTATTGTATGAATAAACAAAAATAAAAGATCTTAAAACTCAGTGAAGTAGAGAGAATATATGGGGTAAGAGTAACCAGTTTTGTCCAAATATTGTAATTTTTTCTAAGTCTTTAAAGTTTTGTCTTTCTATGTTTTTTGTTTGTTTCTTTGCTTTTACAGTGAGCAAGTTGTTTTTAGAGTTAGAATAACAAGAAGTATAGAGAAGAACTTGGAACACACTTGACCTGATAAATACTCTTTGGATTGTTGACCTTGGGAATGACCCGAGGTTCCCTGCTATAACTTTCTTCATCTGAGGAAGAACCAGAGCAGTCGTCTAACGTGGCCCTATTGACAGCATAACTGATGAGTTGAGATAGTTTCCATGCCTCCCATCTGCCTTTAAAAGAAGCGATTGTAAATGGATGGTTTTTCTCACCATACCTACGAAAAGAAATTAAAATATTAGGAATTCAACGTCTCACAAATTTTATCTTTAGTCTTCTGGAGACAACATACTAACTGTATTTTAAAAGTTATATTAAAAAGGGATGGGTCTAGAAAAATGAGCTGAAAGATATTTTAACCTTCAGCTATTACATTATTACAATTAATGAGGATGTTCTCTGAGAGCTATTTAGTTCATTGCTCAGGAAAAAGACACCATCATTATCGACCACCAATGGACTGACTTGCCCCCATGGCAGATAACTAGTCTTTCCTCCTGATGGGCAATAGCCTACAAAATTCCAAAATTCTAAATCTACTGTTTGCAATAAAGTGCAATGATTGAAGTCACATTTCAAATTTCTGCAAGATCTTTGTTCTTCCCATTCCATTCACTCCTAATGTAAGGCTGGGTTGTCTAATAGAAGTTTGTGAAAGATAAAGAAGCAAAGCATTTAAGGAGCACAAAAATGGAAAATTCTCTGTTGATGAATTCTCTCTGAATGTGTATGGTAATATCTTTGACTGAACCAATATACCGTGTATTCAGGAGGAGAAAATTCATTTGGTATGCTGTAATGATGTGTGGTGATTGAATGTAAAAAATAAAATACAATTAAAAAATTTTAAAAAGAAGTGTGTATCTAAAAACCTCAACCAAGCAGTGTCCATTGCTAAACCAAGGCTTTAGGGCATTATCTTTCACAAAGGTATCGAACTGGCTAAATAAGGCTTCCAGAAGCACAGAGTACACAGATGGACTATGAGCTTACTTACCTACAGCACACTTCAAAGGGATCTACCCATATGGTCATCTCTTTTGGAAGTCCCAGGTGAAAAAAATCTACTTTACTCGCAGCACAAGCCTTTTCTAGAATGGGATCTTTATTCTGATCATTTATCCTGATACACCTTAGAGACAGAAAGAGAAAGGAGGTGAAGATGTGAAGAGAGGTACTTTGGCAAGACAGTCACGTGGGCATACTTTTTCTTTTTCCATACACCTAGCTCTCATCTCACCCTCACCTTCCGTTATCCTCCTCCACTTTTAAAAGAGCGAAACGTCACCAACTTTTGATGTGGCAACTCAGAGTGTGTTGTGTTATTAAGTTACCAGATGTCTACTGCATATCTTCCACAGCAAACAAAGTTAGAAATTGTTTAATCCACCTCACGAAAGGGTATCTGCTCTGTAGTCTTCAACTGCAATGTCACCTATCACATTTCTTCAAGTTCAATTCTAGCAAATGAATTTGAGCTCATAAAACTTATGTTACCTCAGACAGATAATAAAACCATTGTATTTTCCCAGCAGATGGAAATAAACGCTTGTTGATAACTTCCCTTTGCCATACTGTGGCCACACTTGGTCTCACCTGAAGGCTTGACCTTTAGAAGGACAATCAGGGTACCAGTGACTTCTGTATGTTTCAAACAAGATTGTCATCAGCCTTTCTGCAAAGTCTTTTATTTGCTGTTTACTCAGTGTATCATGTTTTTTCACCAATCTTGTGACAAAGAAAACAGCTGTTGCAATTTCATCTCTCATGATTCAAAAAAAAAATCTATGAGGAGGTCTGGAGCTACTGGAAGAAGGTGAGGAAAAATTAAATAGAAATGGGATTAACTTATTAATTTATTGTCGATCTATAGCTGTCATTGAAAATTGTATATACCTTAAATTTAAAACAGAAAGTTTTTTAGGAAGTCCTTAGAGAACTACATAAACACTTCAGCACTATAAATCAACAAAACAGCCAAGAACACCAATTCCTGAACTAGCTCACTTTAAAAGTCTGTTGAAGAAAAAAAAAAAAAAATGTCTTCTTAAAACTCTGAAACACTTAAGAAACAAATGAAACATCATTGTGCAACTTAAACAAAAAAGACTTTGATACAGGACAGTAAATTACACAAGTACCACGTTTGAAAAATCTCATTTTACAAACAGCAAAACATTTCAGAGACAGTAGTTCTAAAATGTGTCTCACATCTTGCACACTTTAAGATTAATCTAATAGTGTGAAGTATATTCACATTGGGTAAATTCAACTTGCAAGCAAAGTGATTAAATGTATGAAATTAAAATAATAAAATAAATAACCTCAGGAAGAAAAACATGCATTGGCTTCAGCCATCAAACTTTTTGGCAGAAATGTAAAAAAATGCAGGCAAAATTTTCCATTGGGACATGAGCTGTCCATATTTCTTGTTGAGATCTTATGATTGAACCTGAGGTATATGCTTGGACTTCAGTAGCTGGCCATAGTTCTCTGCCTTTGTGTTACAAATTTCAGTTAAAAAAAAAAATCACATGTCAAAATGTATGTCACTCTTAAATAAAATTTTATACTAGAGCAAATAAATAAATAAATAAATAAATATGATACTTACCAGTGAAAGCTCTTTAAGCTCAACAAAAAGTGGGTCGAAGTTAGAAAACCAACTGTATGTTTCCAACTCTTGCTGACACCTGTTGTGTGTGTTTTAGGCTGAAGCTTATATAAGCCTGGGTCCTAAAGGCAAATCAGTGGTTCACCTACACAGCTGCCATCCATTAAGACAATTACATACCTTTTTCCAGGTCTCCATCAAATTGCTCCTTGACATGTGTAAAGTGCTTAAAGATTTTTCAATTAGATTTACGCTTTCTATTTTGCTATGAAAATCTTATCTTTTACACCATAGAGTAAGAAACAAGCCCTCTCCTTCCATATCCTAAGGCTACATTCCAGTAATTTCATCTCTAATTCTGTCAATGTGTTCAAAGATTTTGTCTCAGGTTGTTTATAAAACTTAAGACTGCCTTCTTTGAACAGACATTATGTTGACCATAGACATTTTGTACTAAAATGTACCAAATGTAGATACGTTGAAGAGATCTGAGTCGGTCTAGTCTCACTAGTTTTCAAAGGGTGGGTCTGTGACTGCTGATTTGGACTCACTAGGTTGCTGGTTTAAAATGCAAATTCTTGGACCTTATCCTTGATCTGCTAAAGCAATTCTGATGATAAGACCTGAGAATTGGTATTTAACAAGTTTTCACTGATGATTCCTATATCCACTAAGATTTAGGAATACCACACGTGACATATATCTTTAATCTCCAAGGTAAAAAGTCCTTCAGTTTTTCTTTATTACAGGGCACCCACACTTGCTGGAAAGTGAGAGACACAGATACAGTGAGAGGGAAAGTGAGAAACCCCCCTCTAAGGGGAAGAGCCATGCCGCAATCCCTTCACCTTCCGGGATCTTGGGTACTCACACATAAGCACTCGGCACAATTTTCAAGCCACTGGGTCCAGGACTCAAACTGCAGTTAGCTATGTGGGAGTCCAGCAACCACTACACTAACTGCTGGTCCCAGTTCTTCAGTTTCTTAATCGGTGAAAAAGAATTCACTCTCTTGCAAGGAAGCCCATTTCCTTTCTAAATAGTTCCAGTCCTCTTTTCCTATGTGGCCCCAAATCCCCCTCTTTGATTTTCTATACATGAAACCTAGTTTCTCCCCTGGAACTACTAATACACAGATTGTATCTGGTCCTCCACCACATGATACATTTCAAACATGAACTATTCAACCTCTCTCCTGGATCTTCTCTTTTGAGAAGCTAAATATTCTCGGTTTGTTTATTTGTTTTTTACTTTTTAAAAAATTATTTAATTTCATTTATTATTTTTAAAACTTGCTATAGGGTAAATGCTCTCACCTTTGTAACAGTTCTTATAGACATGTGACTCAGCTCTCTATGCTGGGTACTCATCTTGCTAGAAGCCTCTTAAAGTACAGAGCCTGGCTTTGCACACAATGCTCAGGTGTGCTTCATTGGTAAAAATTGTTGAAGAACTGTCACCTCTGAATACTGCATTCTAAATGCAGCCTTAGAGGGCATTCACCTTGTTGTTATCACACCTCTGCCTTATGTTGAACCTGTAGGTTCTGTTTATCACTAATGCTATCATTTTTGTCACATCTTTCCCTTCCTGAACAATATACTGTTGAAAAATAAAGAATTCAACCGGCTACATGGTGCAGCAATAATGCTCTGTTCAAGAGAATTGTCACACAGCACTCATGTTTTGTATTCTCTGCCTCATCACCCTGGAACACACTAGACTCCTGTGTAAGTACCAGGATCCAACTGGGCGGGAAGACAGGAGGAGAGGGATTGCAGTGGCAGTGTGAACAGACCATGTGCAGGGTGCTCCCTTCTCTCTCTCTCTCTCTCTCTCTCTCTCTCTCTTTCTTTCAAGTGTGTGCCCACACACTTTGATGAATTTTATATATATATATATATATATAAAATGTGGGTTTTGGAGTTACAGAGACATAGGTGTGAATTTCAACTTTAACACTTACTCTCTGTACAACTTTGAACAACTTGCCTCTGAAACTTTCAGTTTCCTGTCTGTGAAAGGAAGGTACAATAGCGACATCACAGGGTTGTTATTAAGATTACAGTAGACAATCTAAACATCTGGTTTTGAATCTACAAAAGGTGGTACACAGATTTGTAATTTGTGGATTCAAGTCCTGTGCATATAGGTCAACTTTAAGGGACTTGAAAATCAGTGGATTTTGTTATCTTGGGACCATACCCCATGGATATAGAAGGATTATCATAGTTTAAAAATCAGCAAGGCCAAAGCCAGCAGGTGGCATGGTGGTTGAAGCACTGGATTCCCACATGGCTGATAGCAGTTCAAGTCCCGGACCTGGCAGCTTTCTCTCTCTCTCTCTCTCTCTCTCTCTCTCTCTCTCTGGTTTGCCTGTATGCTCTATAGCAAACTGAAAAATAATAATGATAAATAAAATAAAATAAAATAAATCTAGAAAAAACATCAGCAAGGCCAGCAGGTGGCATGGTAGTTAAAGTGCTGGATTCCTACATGGTCAATTAATTACAGTTCAAGTCCTGGACCAGGCAGCTTGAAAATCATGCCAGGTAGCCAGGTATGTGTGCATGTGTGCTCAAAATCCTGAGAATGGAGAAGGGATTGCAGTATGGCCATCCTCCCTGGGGGATGATTTTTCACTTTCCCTCTCTCTGTCTCTCTCTAGCTAGTACATGTGCCCTACAACAAAAAAAAATTTTTTTTTCAGCTATAAATCATCATGGAGTCAAATCTCCGTATTTGATCTTCCTATAAACTTGGGGAAGTTTCTTAACCTCTCTAATCTTTAAGATCTGCATCTGTAAAAAGAGGGTAAGATATGTAACTCTAAAGGTTTTAGAATTAGACTGTTGGTTTTGCATCCTAGTTCAATTTATTGTGTTACCTTAACAAGTGATTTAACTTTTCTATGCCTCAGTGTCCTTGTCCATATAAATGAAATAGCAGTGCCCGCTTTTTAAGTTATTAGGAAATTTAAGAGTAAATGCCTGAAACCTGGAACAGCACCTGGTACTTTGCTATAAGTGTTAGATATCATTATTAGTAGTAATACCACACCATACTTAGTACTATTGTATTCCAGTGTTCTTGTAAAGATCAAACTATAAAACTGTATAAAACACTGAACAGTGTCTAATATAAAGTAAGTGTTCAAAAAGTGGTATCCTTTCTTGGGACCAGCAGTTAGCGTAATGGCTATGTCGCTGGACTCCCACATAGTTGACTGCAGTTCATGTCCCAGACCCAGTGGCTTAAACTCAGGCCGGACACATGTGCGTGCGTGCCCAAGATCCCAAGAGGAGAATGGAGAAGAAGGGATTGTGGCGTGGCCATTCCCCCAGGGGGTGATTTCTCGTTTTCTGTCTCCCTGTCTCTCTCTGTCTGTCTGGCAAACTCAAGCGCCCTGTAGCAAAAACCTCTCAAAAAAAAAAAAAAGTGGTATTCTTTCTTATTAGTAAACTTAAGCAAAAGATTATATATTTATAATTTTGTTATAAGTAATTTCTAATGCTATGTGGATTCAGAGAGATATGTCACAATTATACATTGCAGCTTGATTTGCAAGGTCTCTCCTCTGGAGAATAGGTCAAACCAAGACGCTGAGAGTTGGAAAAAGAGATGAGGCACTTTTGGGACTGATTGCATGCTATTTAAGCTCAGTTCAATGACCTCGCAGACCTCCTTTCCACAGGTGCACCTCCCTTTCCAAGAAAGCATGAATAGTGGCTCATTCTCAAAAGCAAATCTGTGTGGGAACCAGCAGTTAGCATAATGGCTATGTTGCTGGACTCCCACATAGTCGACCGTGGTTCGTGTCCCTGACCCAGTGGCTTAGAACTCATGCCAGGCACATGTGCGTATGTGCCCAAGATCCCGAGAGGAGAATGGAGGAGAAGGGATTGTGGCGTGACCATCCCCCCTGGGGGGTGATTTCTCGCTTTCTGTCTCTATGTCTCTCTCTGTCTGTCTGGCGAGCACAAGCACCCTATAGTGAAAATCTCTCCAAAAAAAAAAAAAAGAGCCATGCCGCAATCCCTTCACCTTCCGGGATCTTGGGTACTCACACATAAGCACTCGGCACAATTTTCAAGCCACTGGGTCCAGGACTCAAACTGCAGTTAGCTATGTGGGAGTCCAGCAACCACTACACTA